ATAACTGGCACTTATGGCTATTGAGCAGTGAGGGATCTTTGTCTTTTACACAGGACCTCTGTTTATATTGTCTTCTTCACAATAAGTTAATAGACATACTGTCACATCAGCTGTGTACAGATAGTTCATAATTTGCAAATGCTTTGTTTTGCTCACCTCTTCTTTGTTCTTGTAGCAAGGTGGATTTGAATTGGGGTCAAACTCCATGTTGGCTGGTATTGACTTTGAAAATGGAAATTATAATAGGTAACTTTATGTTTGGAATAATGTAGGTACTGCGTATTAATTACTGTTTTCATTTCTTTGAAAAATTAAGCCATAAGAAAAGTTTCTAAAAATTACTGAATATTAATGTAATATATATTATATTAAAAACAAGACTCTGACTTAAAAAAAATCAATTCACAATAAAAATACATACATGTCTTGATACAAAACATGACAAGGGTCCTATTTCTGTGAATAATCCAACCTGTAGCAGAAAAAGCAAACAAAACAATAGACAAACAATGCAACACTCAAATGTGCAGCATACACAAACAACAGAAATCTGTGCACAAATGTTATCATAAAACCTTGAAAGAGGAAGAGAGAGAAGAAACATCATTCTTTAATTCTCAGTTTATCTATCTAGGAGGGAAAAAATGATTTCGCATTGTGTTTTCCCTGAATTATTGTCCTTATTCAAATACTGTATATAGGGAAATTTTTGCCCCTTTCACCATTGTCACAAGTGGATGAATTCAAAACAGGGCAAATTCAAGAAAAAACAGCATTTATTCTTTAACACAACTCTGTCTAAGTGAATTTGAAATGGGGCAAAATTGTTTACAAAGGTAAAAGGGTGAAAATAACATGGAGCGAAAATATCCCTGTATACAGTATATTTTTACTTTAGGCTTACTGTTTTAATCTTGCTATATTTTGTACCTTATTGACTTGCGTTACAACAGCATCAAGAACCTCGCCTTTAAACGGTCTGAACACAATGGCTTTGTATTTGACTGGGTACACCACAAATCCTCGACTGGGCTGTATTGTTCCTGCACCAATGTTATCAATAGTTGTAACTGCTATGACAAAACCATATCTGCAAAACAAAGATGATGTGCTCTATTGTCTTCAATAAATTATGTTTGAGATATGCTCATCAAAATATAACCAGTCTGTAAAAAAAACTCCAGGCTCTTATTTTTTGAGTATGGGATTACGAATCAGGTGCCCTTTTTAGAGGTTATAAACCTAACTTTGCTTTCTAATTTCTTTATATAATATATTTATTTATTTCAAATTCCTGGATAAATTCAGTGTATGTACATATAACAGGTATATTCATGGTTCCTATACATGTATTGCTTTTTTCCACACTAAATTATTTAAAGAAGAATTAATTCACACAATATAAATGAAAAAGGAATCAATAAGAAATTGTAAGAAACACTTTTTGAACATGCATTATCTTAGTTTAGTATATTGATAACCTGTTAAGGAGGCTGGGGGGTCAACAAATTAACCATCAGATATAACTTATTTTTTTAGATATGATATCTTAAGCTGTCAACTATCATTTGGCAAAGAAAAAATTCATACATTTAAGTTTTAAACTTTGATCATTTTTGTATATCTTTATGTGGAGCTCTTCTTCTAAAGGAGATCAATATAGTCTAAAAATGGCCACGACCACCCAGCCCTCTTAAGTTGTGTAACAAATCATCCTATGTGTGAGACTATTATTTACAGTATCTCGAACACCAGTGTCTCGAATAGACGAATACCATGGATATGTTGAAGTGATTTCTAAGTCCCAACCACTTTTTCTTTAAGTATTTTACCCTCAATATATCAAATTCTCAGAATTCTCAAGACTTTTCCTTGTTCCCATTGAGTTTGAGTTAACGAGATTTATATTCCTTGCATAAACCAAAAGCTGTTTCTATCCCCTTCCACTGAGAATGATAACAGTCAAAATAATACCTTTTTTTAAATGTGTTTATAAGTTGAACTTCCAAACTTATTTGTAATATACTGGATTTTCAAATTTCTATCACCCCTCAAAGTTATCTTGTTCATTACTGTTATGCACATTCCAACAACTTCATTTAAAGTCAGCATTTCAAAAATTCAAAAGTCAATATACTGCCCTTGTTTGCAATTACAACCTATCATTGAGTCTTATTTGGACAGACATATTTCATACCAACTATTAGACCTTTGTTTTTATTCTAAATTTGACTACAAATTTTTCTGTCCACCTGATCATTTCTTAGGGCTTACAGCAGATCTGACTGAATGACAGGGGATGCTTACTCCTCCTAGGCACCTGATCCCACCTCTGGAATTTCCAGGGGTCTGTTTTTTTATGCTCTGTTCATAAATTTGTATTGTTGCTTGTAGGTGTTTTATTTTTTAGATCAATCACGGCTAATTATCTTCACCTCTTCATCTAAGGATGAACATGCCTGAAGAACTTGACACAAAGCTGCCTTCTTTTGTCAGATTTCCAGATTACCTTAGAAATAACACATTACACAGGACAAATACTCACTTGCCAGTACAGGTTCCCTCTACCTCTGTAAATAGCTTCTGTTTTACAATGTTGAGTAAATTTGGTCCGAAATATCTTGGATGAAGAAGAATTTCATGTTCTAAAGATACCTACAATACATAAAATTAAATGTGAGTAAAGACCAAAAATGCATGTATTTACAAACATACAAACAAGAACAGGTAAACAGAAACAGTCAGAAAGAGATGACAAATGTCATAAACACCCAACAAATTTCTAGCACATTAATGAAAATGACACGGACCTCTTAATACTGTACACTACAGCACTTTTAACTTTATACTAAGTATAGCAATAGCCTGTAACAACATTGTTTATTTTCTCTACATTTTTCAAGCTAACAACCATGCAATACCATATGTCAGTTTGCTTGATAAGGCATGGTAAAATTTCGTAAATTGTTTGACACATTACTTTTCAACTGGATGTTTGATTTCTGGGAAATCAAAACTACTTTGCATATCAAACACAGGGATACCATGCAGTCAGTGGACCCCCTATAGGCCAGTATAGGGGCACTTTGACCAAAATTAGGGGGCACATTGACTAAAATTTGGGGATGCATTGACTAAAATTAGGGGACTATATGGTAGACAGACATCTCGGCCCAACGACACCTCGGCCCGTCACGTTTGACACCTCGGCCCTGACAGGTCGGCCCAAGATAATTGACACATTGGCCCATAAAAAAGACTCCTCGGCCCAAGCAAAATTTTGTGATAGAAATAATTAATCCAGTGTCTTTCTGACGATTAAACGATTTTCTTCATAGAAATCAAATTGGGAAAGAGTAGGGGTCTATGATAGATATCAATTGGTTCATTTCTATTTATAACTAAATAACTAAAATCATACATGTCCTTAACGTGCATCTCTCTCATGTGGAAAATGCGCAATTATATGCTAAGTAATACTAGATTTCAACATACTAGCAATTCTTTCTTACGATTTAATATATTTCTATTATAAATTGTATGTTATCGTATCATTTTGCATTGTTTCTCTGACGATTTGAAACATTTGAGATAGGTCAATAATCTGTGAAAAGAAATGGATCACATTTAAACATTTTTTTTTTGTGAGGTTAAAGCGGTGTCTTATAGATGGGCCGACCTGTCTTAAATCTTGGGCCGACCTGTCTGAGCCGAGGTGTCATTGGGCCGAGATGTCAATGGGCTGAGGTGTCGTTGGGCCGAGGTGTCTGACATTCGGCTATATGACTGGAATGGTTTTATTTAGGGGGTGCTTTGACTGGCTCCCCAAACACAGAAACCAGCAATACCACTGAAATATACTGACCAATCGTATTGAATGATAATATTGATTATTTAGTAGTATGCATTAAACAACAATTAATGTTAAAATTAAAATTGGATATGTATCCAATGTTTATGAACAAAATATTCTTAAATTCCATACACGTAATATGTACGGGCGGTACGCAAAATGTATAGTATTTCAAGCCCATTCATCGTGTACCGGCGGGACGCCAAAATTCACGGAATATGAGAATTTGTACAGTATTTTGAATTTCTCGCTAAATGCCGCCATTTTCCTTTCATTCTCGCTCGCGAGACACTGGAAAACGTCACCTGTGTTTGACCCTTGACCTTCTGATAATTGTGTAGTGTACACAAACCATCACGTGCGAAGGTGTGAACTGCCAATTGGGATAATTATCTTGCTATAAATCCGAATCAACATACCCCTTTAGGTAGCTTTATTTTTATAGGGGTACTTAATTATAACTGTTAATGTTTCGTAACTTGATTGAAAAAAATTAAGCCAACTTCTAAAGATGATATACATGACTTAATATACATGAATCTGACCCAGATCTTCGTAGGTATAAAATATACGACGTTTATTACCATGATTACACTGAAATTTCAGAAGAATTGAAGCGATATTTTATACCGTTTTTTGTACTGTTTTTTGATAGGCAGTGTACAGTTTTTCACTCAAATTCCAGTTTTTTAATGGCTCCTGTACAGTTTTGTGGTCTTTGACTTATCACATGTATGAAATTCTGATTGTTAAAATGTTTTGATTTGAGTTTTAAAAACCCCATTGTTTACAAAACAACCTAATCTTTTATCCCAAACTTTCTTATAAAAAATGTCAAAACTCACGGATTGTCAAATGTAGAAAGTATCGCTATGATCTCATCTTGGCTTTTGTGATATGACAATAATGAATATATTCAAATTACATATTGACATCACATGCTTATATTGGCAATTGTTGGGAAAAAAAACAAAGAAAACTCTAAAGCAATGAAATGTTAGTAGCAGTTGATAAAAAATTGGAGTAAATAAACCAATTTTCATTAAATATCAACAAAATAATGTATCTTACATGGTAAAACATCTTTCTTGTTAGAAGCGGAAGTACGTACTAGCTGGAACAGAGTTTATTCGGAATGAAATAACAGTGGTACGAGTGTTAATACAGTTAAAAAATGTTTTCACAAGCATGCAGAAAAATAAGCGTCAAAGTTTCTCCACGTATTGAATTTAAGGTACATTTTTTGACAGTCATAAAGCTAATGTGTTTTCTAAAAAACAAACTTTGGTGTAATTCTTGTCTTGCATGGGTTGCACTAGAAATGCGATAAACTTAAAAAATCGAAGAGGAAATTCGGATTGAATTAATGACTACATGAAACGTCATTTTTTTTAATATAGACAAAATACTGATTATAATTTTAATCCCAGGGGACATACCATTATGATTTTGAAAACCAGATTTTCCTGATTATGTTGGATAAGTGTTGTTAATTGTTTAAATTGTTTAACAAAGCAATGCATTGTTGACTTGTCATCTTAGGTTGAATATTGAGATTTCAGTTCTTCATTCTTTCAATGCTGCATTTGTTTTTACATGCATATTTTCAGAGACTATAAATAACAATAACAATACTTTGATTAATTGAATACTTTTTTTTAGCGATGTTTGCTAAGAAGTAGCCTTTGTCATCAGAAAATAGACAACAATGTGAAAACTACAGAACATACACACCATTACAGCAATGCAGGTTATTTAGTTATTTAAATGATGTTCTTAGTCCAAAATAAGCCCAGTACGTACTGGTACTAAAAATTATAAATTTGTCAGCTCAAGATTTATTTTACTTAATCTTCCTTCAGACCAAGTTAACAGTGAGCCGACACTGTATGAGAAGTTCCTGCAGAATCCCCAGTCTGTTCCTTTAATCACTTCCAGGGAGCTGGAGTATCCCAATAAGTACAGAGCACCTCGTCAAGCTTGGCTAGAAACACTAAGCACGGTGGAGGATCATAAACTTGGCATGGTGGATCTCCATCCAGATGTATTCGCTGTTCATCCCAGGTACTTTTGTGCTTTCCTTAGACATCCATCAGTATGAACAAACTCTTGGTTAACCCAAATAAGTTTAATCACAGTTGACAAGTTTACTCAAAAGTGAAACCTTCAAAACAGGCTCTAGCCCTAAGGAATAAAGTGTTTTTGCAGGTACCTATATACTAACGGGATAGGCAATCCCTTCAGCGACATGTTTATTTGCCCAAAACAGCACACACAACACTACAAGTTTTTCAAACTACATTTATTCCAAATGAAAAGCTTATTTTCTGATAAATGAAATCCGTTCTTTTTGTTTGTTTGGAATGGATTTTTAATAAATTCAAAAGCATATGTTGTCAAATAATTTAAATATAAAGCAAAGAACTACCGAATTCGGCAAATTCTCAGAAATATGGCCGATTGGGGAACGAGTTGATTTGGAATATACAACGTAATTATACCAAGATTAGAAGTATAAAGAGTGCTTACAACAAATCTTGAATCATTTTTTGACAGATAAATAGAGGTCTTGCTTAGAAATATTTCATAGCATTAGAGTTATATTAGTTTTAAAATTGACTTACGAAATCCCGCAACTTACGAGATATCGCGAGACTTGCGAAAGTTGCCCATCCCGTTAGTATATAGGTCCCTGGTTTTTGTAAAATTACTGTCCTTCATTGTTCAAATGCTTCACTGTGAAGCTATTCCACTTGTTTAATTTTACACAGTAGCTATGATTTCTTTCCATGCTACACAAATTGAGAGAATTATTTTATAGGATAATTTCATAAGAATATACTTTCAGATGTATGTGTCTTTCTTTCCAGACTGGACGTATTATATCACAATTTAAGGTGGCAGGAGTTTTATAAGAAAATCGTAAGTATATTTCATCTACACTATATAAAAGTGCATATCATTAGGGGATTTAGGTTTTAAAATTTGTACAGAGAATTTCCTAATAGTTTTGTAATTTTTACACAATTAGATTTGAAAGAAATTTAAGAAATTATTTTAGTAATTCAGAAAGTAAGAGATAAACAAATGTATTTTTTTTTAATTAAAGTTTAAATTTTTTATAATTTATAGACTTCTTTTAAAAGAAAACAAAAATTATTGTAGGATTATAATTGGACGCCAGGTCGAGGTGATTTGGATGTGACAACTCGCAAACAGATGCCCCAGAAAAGAACAGGAAGGGCCAGAAACCGAAATAGGGACTGCATAATGTTTAGAACAGGTCTGGTTTTGTGTATTTAATGATATTGAAGTTTTTTATATTACAATATTTACATTCGCTATGCTTTTCTGTTTAATCAACCATGAAATTGATTTGAATGCCATTTTTGTATATACTCACATGTAAAAGTGTACAGGGAAAAACTTGCAGTGATGTCACAATGAGGCTTCAAAGATGTTAATAAGATGTAATGATATAGGGCAGTGAGAAATTTAAACACTGATTTGATATATTATGTGCTATTTGGTGCTTTTAAACAAGTAGAACATAAATATAAGGAATGTTTTTAAGTTTAGTGTGAATTATTGGTGTGTAAATCAGACAAACTTGCATGTAGGCATATTTTTCTTGAAGTGCTAGTGTGTTTCATGAAATATGCCTACGTGACAAGTCTGTGTGATTTACACACCAATAACTCACACAAAACTTAAAAACAATCCTTAAATCCTGTATGATTTATTTATAATTTTTAAAGGATAGAAATTGCTATTTTACGAAGGAAAATTAAATAATTTAATAAGTAATATTGAACACCACATGTAATCTTATTTTAACAGGTGCTAAACCCCTTGGACCTAAAGGACCCAAGGCTTTATTTTATATGTTACCAAAGCGTTACAGAGTTCAGGGACTTTGCACAGCACTCTCATTTAAATATGCACAGAATAATTTGCATATTGTAGACTCCCTGGAAATTCCTGAAGATGATCCACAGGTAATGTATTATAAATAATTTTCATGTAACATTTCAGATATTATGAGACAAAATTTGGTTGAATGTTCATTTGGGCTTGTCACTCTTCTAACGTTGAAATAGAAGCATTTTAAAAACTTACTATACTTACTTACTAAGTATCTGATTGTTGACTTTCTTATCTTGGCATGATGTTTAATATTAGATAAAGAGTTTTGATTTTATATTTGGTCAATGTCAGTACTTCAAAATAGGTCAAAGTCAAACTCAGGGGATAGAGATCAATATCATTTAAATACAAAATATCTCTGGAGGATTTTGCCACCATCAAGTAGCTACAATAAATTTTGAAAAGAAAGAAGTGTCTTGTTTGATTACGGCCACAGGAAGTAAATTAAGGGAATGGCAGATGCGCATGATTCTTTCTCACTTACATGTATAAGGATGAACGACTAGGGAATTTGTATCTCTTTAGCTTAGGAACTTATCTTCGTTAAATTTTTCCTTCAATGTTATGCTTATACATGTCTAATTTTTCTTGTATTTTTACAGTACATTCAAGATTTAATTGACACAAGGTTTTGGGGATTCTCAGCCCTGTTTGTTGATGAGTAAGTGAATTATTTTCTTCAATAGATAAATTTTGGTTTTGTATGTGCATTTTGTGTGATTGTGTAAATTGTTTAAAATGTCTCAACAAGTTTTCCCTTATCTTTTATTTCATTCCAGCACTGACTACATGCCAGAGAACACATCATTGGCATTAGCAGAATTCCCACACTACAATTTGTGTCCTGTATATGGTAAAATTTATCACATATTCAAAACTCTTGATTATACATGTATTAGCAACATTTCTGAAAGAAAAAAGGTGGGAAAGGATTTGCGGGTGCCCTATAGTAATCACTCTATCTGTCTGTCTGTCCGTCTGTCTTTCTTCCATCCACAAATTTTCTGGGTTTTTTTCTAATAACATTTTTTAGGGTTGACCAATTAACTTGAAATTTTGTTTGTTGGTTGAATAGGCAGTAAAACATATTTTGATGCTAAGTTTGGTTCTCTATGTCATCCGGTTTGGAGCTGGGGTGGTGGGGTAGATTCCTTAACTTTATATAAGAGTGAATGGACAAAGACAGATAACTGCTGAGAATGATCCTATTGTAAACTAGGAAAGGCTGCAATGAGTCTCTTGGGATTAATTAACTTTCCTCTTGAAGAAAATCCAAAGCATTTATCTTTATCTGCCACATTGAGATTAATTAACACTTCTGTCTGCAAATGAAGTTTGTTTTGAAGTTAAGGTCAATTCTGAATGATGTTTACATTCTCTGAAATGTGGATTTAAATAATGTTCATACTTTATTTTGGTAAAACACACAATGAGTTATGATTTTATTGAATTCTAAAACAAGATATAGATAAAGATATCTTTTTTTATTATTATTTTTTTTTCTTTCTTTTTTTCTGCCTTATGTAAATTCAAGCATACTATTTATTTTAACAGGTATTCAGACTTGTAATAACCTCATTCTATCATTGCTGAAAAAGTACTTATTGTAAACTTAGAAGAAAAGGT